ACAAAAAATTTCGACAGAACCTCCCCTGCACGGTGAGGTTTCGAAAACCTAAAAAAAACAACGGCACGATGGCCGACAAGCACATATGGCTCAACAGAAGCCATGTAGTTTGGATATCAATCCATGCAGAAGAATATATCCAAGTAGTACCACTACTTGTACTACTACTTTCACTATTGCTACTACTACTACCATTGGTTCCACTACTACTACCACTATTGCTACAACTACTACCATTAGTTGTACTACTACTACCACTACTTCTACTACTACTATCACTAATTCTACTACTACTATCACTAATTCTACTACTAATACTACCACTAGTTGTACTACTACTACCACTAGTACAACTAATACTACTACAACTACCACTACCTCGACAATAATAAGTGAGAAGGCATACACCGACGGGCGTGGTGGTAGGGGTAAGTGTCGATCGGGATCAGCGGGTCGCACACGGATGGCGTCAGTATGGCGCGTCCAGGCGTGTGGTAGGTAGGGCCGGTCGAAGGCAGGAGCGGTCAGGCGAGGGTCGGTCGGAAGGTCGCGGCGCGGGCCGGGGAGCCGTGGCGGCAGCAGTGGGCACGTATGGAAGGCGAGGACCGGGTGTGAGCGGCGGTGGCCGGGGGAACTGGGTCAGCAGGGGTGTGGGGGGCATGGCGGCCGGCGGGCGGCCGGCTGGTCGGGGAAGGGAAATTGGGCGAGGGCACGGTGGCCGAGGCACGACGACGATGCCGGTGGCGGGCGCGAGGAAACGCGGGCGCGGCGGCAAGTGCGGGTGGGGTGGGCGAGGCTGTGTCTGGTGTGAGGCGGGCGGGCGTGGTGGCGCTGGGCTGGGTGACTGACTGACCGCCGACGACCAAAAACAATTAAGTCCTCGCGCCCACGGCTTTGCCGAGTGCCGGATCAGGGAGGCACTCGGCAAAGATTTGATTTTTTTTAAATTTCTTTGCCGAGTGCCCCCAGATCTGGCACTCGATAAAGATTTAATTTTTTTTTAAATTCTTTGTCGAGCGTCTCAGATCTGGCGCTCGGCAAAGATTTTTTTTTTAAAAAAATACTTTGCCGAGTGCCCCTGTCATGGTACTCGGCAAAGATTTAATTTTTTTTATAATTTCTTTGCCGAGTGCTCCTGTGGATGCACTCGGCAAAGAGGAAATTTTTCTTAAAAAAATTTAAAACACTCTTTGCCGAGTGCCTTATTCCTGGCACTCGGCAAAGACCCCTTTGCCGAGTGCCATGCCTCGGCACTCTGCAAAGTTTTTTTGTTTTTTTGTTTTTGGCCTCCAATTTTTTTGTGCAGCCCTTTTAAAGCACCAGGAACTCCTAGTTACAATTTGGGGATTTTTTTTGGCTTTTTGATATATTTAGTTACTTTATTTCGTTTACTTGAATTTTTCCGGAAATTAGAAATTTGAATTGCACGTGGTACGAATAATGGAGTTTAATGATTCGAAAATTGATAGTCATGTTAGTGAGTGTTGTGAGAGGCCGTATCCAGGAACGGACCCGAAATTTCGGACATCTTGTTCACGAAACATGTCCGTGAAATTGCGTGTGAAGTGTTTTTAAATTCTATAAAAAGCAAACGAAGTCCGAAAATCATGAAACTTGTTGAGATGTCGTGATATCATATGTGGAGGCTATGATAAAAATTTCAGAAGATTTCGTTCACGTTGTCACGTACGATGCTTACAAACCAGTGACACTGCTAGCTGACTTTATGGACCCATCTCCTTTGTTGTTTTCTGGCGTAGTGGCTTTCTACATACTTTGTATTAGCCTAAAATCGATTCCTTCATATATCATCAGCTGCTGATACTTTTTTTATAAAAGAATGTTATTACATGAACCAAATCAAAAATAAATTAATACACTGATGATCAATTTTACAACTAACTGGCAGGTCTCTTGCTACCACTACCAGAACCCAATGAATGTATGTTTGAGTAGTATATGTCCTATACACACACTTTGTACATGCTTGCTACAAATTAATAAGCTGCTTTGTACCAACTGTGTGCCCTAGCTAGTTTTTGGAGGTGCACGGCTGTGGAAGAACCGTCCCGGATTTTCTCCATGTCGCATTCTGACAGGTGCTTTTTGCGGCATCCTTACTGTTACTGCCCTGCATCTTCAGGTTAATGTTCTGCAGGGTAATACCATGGCACGGGACATTCATGCTGCAGTTCAGCTTGATGGCGTCCTTGGTCACTGTCGTCGTCCCCTTGATGTTCTTGAACACAACATTGCTGACCTCCACTGCCGACTCCTGCGCTTCGCATGGCGTAGCCTTGTCGCAGTAGTTCTGGTCGATGATGATCGGGTTCGCGACGTTGTACACGGCCATGTTTTGGAACGTGATGTCCTTGGCGTACCCGCTTCCTCCCTGGTACGTCTTGATGCGTGCTCCATTGGTCGTGCCGTATAATTGCACTGAATCTATGGTGATGCCTGAGACTTCGGCTCTCCAGTTGTCATCTCCTAAACTCCCAATGCTGATCCCGTGCCCTGGCCCACACACGACTTGCGACACATGGAGGTTGTTCGTCCCGGACTCGATGGACAGGTAATCATCACCTGCAAATAAAAAATCCACCGGAATTGAAGAACCCAAAACTTAGCTAAAGTTGAACCAAACTTAAAAACTAGTAGTGCTGTGTGTGTTTCGTGTGGTTTTGAATTGTGAACATATACTAGTAATATATGCTGCTTAATTACCTGTCTTGATCTTGAAGTTGGTGACCTGCACATCATTGCTGCGTGTGATGTGGATGCCGTCAGTGTTCGGACTGGTGCCGGGCGCTGTGATCGACAATCCTGTCAACTGCACACCGGTGCAATCTTCGATGGACATGTGAATCTGTTGGCTGTTGACAATCTTTAGATCCTGCACTCTCAGGCTCGTGCAGTAGTGGAAACACACACATTTATGTACTGTGCAGGCAGAATTGCAAAGAATTGATTCTGACTGCTTTTATTTTTCTTGAATGCAGATTAGTAATTAACCTAGAGAGTGTTTGGTTTATATCACTCTAGCTTTATCTCGATCTTTGCCACTGGTATCCTTGAGATGAGGTGGAGTGGTGTTGGCATTGATGAATGGTGGAGGAATGAGCAGTTTTGGGTTATTGGTGGTATTTCTGCGCATTTATTTGCCGTCTTCCAGGGTCTCCTAAAGGTGCTTGCTGGTATTGACACGAGCTTCACTGTCACTTCTAAGGCCACTGATGAAGAAGGTGATTTTGCTGAGCTCTACATGTTCAAGTGGACAACGCTTCTGATCCCACCAACCACTATTCTGATCATCAACCTGGTCGGTGTGGTTGCTGGCACTTCCTATGCGATCAATAGTGGTTACCAGTCATGGGGACCTCTTTTTGGGAAGCTCTTCTTCGCGTTCTGGGTGATTGTCCACTTGTACTCCTTCCTCAAGGGCCTCATGGGGAAGCAGAACCGCACGCCGACCATTGTTGTTGTATGGGCTATCCTCCTTGCATCGATCTTTTCCCTGCTGTGGGTTCGTATCGATCCATTCACCACCCGGGTCACTGGTCCTGATATCGGAAAATGTGGCATCAACTGCTAGAATGAGCTGAATGTATTAAAGAGTGGAACTAGCACCCATTGTGTCGTAATTTATCAGTGGGTGGCTCTTTCTACAGTATGCTAGGAACTTGGTCGGGAGAAGTTAATTACATATGGTGTAATATGTACCTCCGCTGGTGTTTATCCGTAAGTTAATATATATAGACTGCCTAGCTTGTCTGAAAGTTTATGAGAGTATCAGCGAATTATGTATGGCCAACAGGTTGATTTAATGTGTACATTCAAATCTCTTCTGCCAATCTCAAATGCGTTAACCATGAAGTATCAGTTGTTGCTTTGCATAAAAAAATTTACAGGAATGTTACACCAACCAATCAACAAGTACAACTAAACACCTTTTTTCTACTAGTTCTTGTATACCCTCGTATTTACATGCTATAAATTGCTCAAATCCTATCCATCCTAGCTTTTGTCAGTGCAGGGCTGTGGGTGTACAGTCCCGAATTTTCTCCATTTTGCATTCTCACATGTGCTTTGTGTGTCGCCCTTGCCGCCCTGCATTTTTAGATTGATGTTTTGCAAGGTAATGCCTTGGCATGGGACATTCTTGCTACAGTTCATCTTGATAGCTTCCTTGGTGATGGTTGTCCCTCTGATGTTCTTGAAGACAACATTGCTAACCTGCACTGCTGACCTTTGCTCTCCGCACGGCGTAGCCTTGTCACAGTAGTTCTGGTCGATGATTATCGGGTTTTTGACGTCGTACATGACCATGTTTTGGAACGTGATGTCCTTGGCGTATCCACTTCCTCCTTGGTATGTCTTGATGCGTGCTCCATTGGTTGTGCCATATAGTTGCACTGAATCTATGATAATGCCAGAGACTTCAGCTCTTGAGTTGTCATCTCCTAAGCTTCCAATACTAATCCCATGTCCAGGACCACAAACAACTTTGGAGACATGAAGATTACGAGTCCCGTTCTCGATTGACATGCAATCATCACCTGTGAAATTCAGCAGAAACAAAATGTGATGAGTTCACCGAAAGCTTGAAGATGCAATAATGGCATATATGTTGTATATGATGCGAATTAGTATTCGAACAAGCTACTTACCTGTCTTGATCTTGCAGTTTGTGACGTGTACATCCTTGCTCCGAGTGATGTGGATGCCGTCAGTGTTAGGGCTCGTGCCAGGCGCTGTGATGGACAACCGCGCCAGTAGCACATTGGTGCAATCCTCGACTGACATGTGGATCTGTTGGCTGTTCACAATTTTCAGATCCTCCACTCTCAGATTGGTGCAGTAGTGGAATGACAAAGCCGTTGGAGCTTCCTTGCACGGCTGAAGAAACAAGAAAGAGAACCAATTCTGTTAGGTTAGACACTTCCCAATAAAGCATAAGCTTAAAGATATTCAGATAAACTAAGGGTCGGCGCCGCACTTACCAAAGCCTTGTTGATCTTGCATGAGTGTGGCCACCATTTCTCGCCGTTGCCGTCGATGGCGCCACCGCCATTGACGGTGAGCTTGTTGACGCTTCGGAACACGATCCAGTGCCTCCTGTCCTTGTCGCTCCAGTCCGCCCTGTTCGGCGACGCTACCAAGGTGCCCTTGACCGTGAGCGTGACGCTGGACTTGCACGGTCCCTGGAGAGTGACGAGCTTGAGCAGGTAGAGCCTGCCGCCGGGGATGAGCACGACAGCCGGCCGTGGCGAGGCGCATGCCGCCTTCCACGCCCTGGCCAGCGCCTGCGTGTCGTCGTGGCTCCCGTCGCCGCGGGCGCCGTAGCGGTCGACGCTGAACACGCTCTGCGACGACGGCGACGCCAGCGACCTGCCCCTGGGCGCGGCGGCGGATCCATTGACGCGAGGGCTGTGCAAGTGGTTCGTGCCGTCAGCCGAGGTGCCATTGCTCGCTCTTGCAGCCTCAAGAGTGCTAGACATGAAGAGCGTCGCGAGGAGAGGCACCATGAACACAAGCTTCATCAGCTTCCTGCTGGATACCATTGTCAGAGCTACGCACGCTGTGCAGGTTGTTATTAGTTGCGACCTGGACTTTGAACTCTCAAGTGAACAAAGACCACAACAGAACTGAAGGCTATAGTGCAGCTTGAGCTTTGTATCTGATGGCAGGGGACTTGTTGCTAGGCTTGTTCAGTTTGGTGATGGTGACTTGGTGAGTAAGCAGCATGCCAACGGCCGTATATATAGGCGCGCTCGATGAGGCAGGATGCGTTGCTTGTGAAGAAGACTTAGGTTGGCAGCAGATATGTGCAGTGGAGTGTGCATTCTTGCATGCCATTGCCATACCCCATGGATTCCTGAGATTCTTCAGGCATGGCAAAAGGAGATAAATGTGCCTGAATCGTGTCCACCTGCAGGTATTCTCACGACGAAAATTCTAACGTTTGTTTGCTTGCCCGCTGCCGTTGATGCGAGTACGTCCCATAGTGCACGTGCACGAGTGTCTGTGTTTGTTCTCAGGACAAGTCGTCAAGCATGTCCATCTGATTCTTTGCAGTGGTCTCCATGAAAGTTGGAGCATGAGGGCCGCCATACGGCAGTGACAATTCACAATTCGGTTAGGCATATGTGGAACTGAACCATGCTTTGCCGATATGACGATGTCCGGAAGCAACAGGGGCTTATAATGTCCGGAAGCAACATACTAGTACTAGTATATATTCAACGTGTCGATGATGAAGCAATCTGCTACTATAAGCACTTCATAAGCCAGCCGGTTCAGTAGTGCAAGAGTCAGCACAATCGACGCAAGCAATCGATCATGCATCTGTTCACAATATTCCAAACTATGTATTGCAGCACCAATTATCAAATATATTACTAGCCATTACTAATTGAAGATCCCAACAAAGCCTCCACATTAATCCTCATGACAAGACATGCTAGCCGAAAAAAAAAACTTGAGTTTCTTATAAAAACCATAAGGATATATAGTCATCACAATTCAGTAGTCTCTAACCAAATATTGATAATAATAACCAATTTTAAATTTACCCACCTATGCTACTATGATCAATTACTGAACCTTCCATTATCATAGATAATCTAAGCTAGTGACCCATTAAATTTTAATCTAAATTACCACTTCTGCCACCATAAAAATCCCTCAAAAGTATATATAGGTAGCTCAACTGCTTAGATTCGCCAAAGGTTTAAGTCTCCGACTTAACATGGATGCAATGTTTGAACTTAAAACTCGGCTAAGTTGTTTTGCCGCAAATTAAACTAGTACTCCCTCCATTTCAAATTATAAGTCATTCCAAGAATCTTGGAGAGTCAAAGCATCTCAAGATTGACCAAAATTATAGAGAGAATCACAAAGATTTATGACATCAAATAGGTATACTATAAAAATATAATTAATGAAGAATCTAATGATACTAAGTTGGTATCATAAATGTTATTATCTTATCATATAAATTTAGTCAAATTTAAGATGCTTTGACTCTCCAAGATTCTTCAAATGGCTTATAATTTGAGATGGAGAGAGTATTTCGTTACACTTACACCATGCATGTTACTATCCATCAAGCTCGTGCGTATAACGTTTTACACAGATCGCATGCAACAAAAGTCTGATCCGTTGCACCTGCTAGCTTGATGTCTTGATGAGCCCCTGCCTGTAGTGCCTACTTTAATTTTCACATCTGCTGATCTTTGTTACTACGCACAAGGCACGGATATATCGTGCGCGCGTTTTAATTGAGCAATCGACTGATCGATCGGGAGAACTGGAGACGGGTACGTACATGATGCATATTGCATGGTGCAGATCGAGGTCGTCGTGTGCTGCCAAACTCGGGTGGCTTGCCGCCCCAAGCCTTGCCGGCCGGCCGGTTGCCGCGCCCTGGCTGGATAGGCTGGAGGTAGACCGGTCGTTGCATTGCATGCATGGAGAGTACGCTACTTTTCACTTTTCGTGTGCTGGAAGAGAATCGATTAACGCCGTCAAACGAAATCAAGGCCCAAGTACACGTATTATCAGTACAAGGTCTCTGTTTAATTTGGGACGCGCGGAGGGCGAGGTCACTCTCCAACTCAAGTCGCCGTGGCCTCGTTCGCTTCTCTTATAATCCGTCTTTTTCAGCTTGTTTTTTTAGTCGAAACAATGTTTTTCTCTTACAACAAATCAGCCGGAACAGTGTTTCGGCTTGTTTATATATATATATATATACTTCAGGTAAATATATACTATTAATCTTGTTTTTTCAATCAAATGAGATTTGTTCGGATTCTCAAATTTTTAATTAAAATTCCACAAGTTTCAAAAAAAAATTTGGGATTTTTAAGTTTTTTTAGTTGTACCATCTCTTCTGGGATTTGTGCTTGGTAGGCCGAACCCTCACTGCCATATGCTTCCAAGTTCTAATTAAGAGCATCTTCAAGAGCTTCCAAAACCACTCATAATATTGATTTTTTGGTAAGATTGAAAAAAAAACTGCTCTCCAATGACTCCCTGTCTTAACTCTAAACTTTCCGCACTTGGGAGACCCAACCTAATCGCGCGGATATACACACACATGCGTGTATCCATCGGCTTGCTTGGGAACACAGCCAGCAGGGACTGGACATGTTCCGTTGGGCAGCTGATTGGGTATATCTCATTTTTTGCTTAATTGATTTTTAGTACACAACACCTCCCAGAAAAATCAAGTGTGGATGCCTGTGTCTGTAAGTCGGAAATTGAAGGATTAGCGAAAATGCCAGCATCATCGGCACATAGAGAGCACCTCAGCTTGGTGTTCAGGCAATTTGAGGTGTTACAATGCTAGATGCTTCGCCCTCCCTAGTCTCTACAATTGATTTAAGGAAAGCATAAAATACTTTACCTTGTAATTTGTATGAATAATGATAGCTATGGCTCATTTCAGAGTTTATATTGTCTTGAATTTGGTTGGGGCCTTTAAAATTTTCCATTTACATTCACTGGCCTCATCACCCACGCATTGCAGGCTACAAATCTGAAGCTATATGTGACCTTACAGGAAATGGATTTACAAGAAAGGGAAAGTATTCCTAGAAATATAAACTGTTGCTAATTTGTATAAAAGAATATACATGAAAGTTATATGAATGAACCAATTAATGAATACACACTTAGCAATACAGAGCTACAGGTTTTCACGCGTGTCAGAAATATATATACATAGATGAGCATGGCTACTCTATCTGTACAAACTACAAATTACAAGCAACTGAGTTCAGTTGCCCCCCTACTTTGTGGCAGTGCAAGGTTGCGGGTGAACAGTCCCAGATTTACTCCATTTTGCATTCTGACATGTGCTTTCTGTGTTGCCCATGCCACCCTGCATTATTTTCAGGTCGATGTTCTGCAAGGTAATGCCTTGGCATGGGAAATTCTTGCTACAGTTCATCTTGATGGCATCCTTGGTAATGGTTGTGCCTCTAATGTTCTTGAAGACAACATTGCTGACCTGCACTGCTAATCTTTGTTCCCCGCATGGCTTAGCCTTGTCGCAGTAGTTCTGGTCGATGATTATCGGGTTCTTGACATTGTACATGATCATGTTTTGGAATGTGATGTCCCTGGCGTATCCACTTCCTCCCTGGTATGTCTTGATGCGTGCTCCATTGGTTGTGCCATATAGTTGCACTGAATCTATGGTAATGCCAGAGACTTCAGCTCTTGAGTTGTCATCTCCCAAGCTTCCAATGCTGATCCCATGCCCAGGACCACAAACTACTTTGGAGACATGAAGATTATGGGTCCCGTTCTCGATTGACATGCAGTCATCTCCTGCAAGATTCAAAAGAGGAGATCTAAGTTCACCGAAAGCTTCAAGACAATATATTCCATATGAAGTGAATCCTGAACATTCTACTTACCAGTCTTGATCTTGCAGTCTGTGACCCATACATCTTTGCTTCGAGTGATATGGATGCCGTCAGTGTTAGGGCTCGTGCCGGGCGCTGTGATGGACAACCTTTCGAGTTGCACATTGGTGCAATCCTCGACCGACATGTGGATCTGTTGGCTGTTCATAATTTTCAGATCCTCCACCCTCAAATTGGTGCAATAGTGGAACGACAAAGCCGTTGGAGCTTCCTTGCAAGGCTGAAGAAAAGAGAAGCCAGTTCTACTAGGTTAGACAATTTTCAGTAAAGCACAAGCTTACAGATATTCAGATAAACCAAAGGGTCGGCGCCACACTTACCAGAGCCTTGTTGATCTTGCACGAGTGCGGCCACCACTTGTCGCCGTTGCCATCGATGGCGCCACCACCATTGACGGTGAGCTTGTTTACGCTTCGGAACACGATCCAGTGGCTCCTGTCCTTGTCGCTCCAGTCCGCTCTATTCGGCGACGCCACCAGCGTTCCTTTCACCGTGAACGTGACGTTTGACTTGCACGGGCCAGAAAGACTGACGACCTTGAGTAGGTAGCGCTTGGAACTAGGGACAAGCAGGACAGCCGGCCGCGGTGAGGTGCACGCTGCCTTCCACGCTCTTGCCAGCGCCTGCGTGTCGTCGTGGCTCCCGTCGCCGCGGGCGCCGTAGCTGTCGAGGCTGAACACGCTCTGCGACGACGACCCCAGCAACCGGCCCCTGGGCGCGCTGGCAGATCCATTGGCGCCAGGGCTGCGCGAGTAGTGGTCTGTGCCGTCAGCCGAGGTGTCATCGCTCGCTCTTGCAGCCTCAAGAGTGCCGGACATGAAGAGCAGCGCGAGGAGAGGCACCATCATCAGCTTGCTGCTGGGTGCCATTGCCAGAGCTATGCACGATGTCCAGGTTAGTTGCAGACCGGACTTGGAACCCTCAAGTGAACAAGATCACAACAGAATTGCAGGCTATAGTGCAGCTTGAGCTTGGTATCTTGTTGCTAGGCTTGCTGAGCTTGGTGATGGTGTTAGATTTGGATGGTGACTTTGTGAGTAAGCTGCATGCCCACGGCCGTATATATAGTCGCGCGCGGTGAGGCGGGTTGCATGCGTTGCTTGTGAAGAAGAGTAACGCGGGAGAGTTTAGTTTGGCAGCGCGCAGATATGGAATGTGCAGTGGAGTGTTCATGCTTGCAGCCACCACGTACGCCATACCCCATGGATTCCTGAGATTGAATTCTTCAGGCATGGCAAGGAGATAAATGTGCCTGAATAATCGTGTCCACCTGCAGGTTTCTCAGGTCAACAAGATTGAACACGTGCACGAGCGAGTGTGTGTGTGTGTGCGCGCGCGCGTGTGTTAATTGTTTGTTCTCAGGACAAGTCCGTCGATCTGATTCTGTGCAGCGTAGACCTTGAAAGTTGGAGCACGAGAGCCCCCACGGCAGTGACAATTCGGTTAGGCACCTGTGGAACTGAAACTCTGAAACATGCATGCTTTATGCGATCGCCGTGTTCTATCCATCAAGCTTGTACGATCGCCGAGACTCCCGCAAACCAGCTACTAATTAATAGCTGTCACGTTGTGGATAACGTTTACGCATGCAGACGATGGCAACAAGCCATCAAACAAAAGTGTGATCCGTTGCCTGCTGCTAGGGGTAGCCCTGCAGCTGCCTGTATTAGTAGTGCCTACTTTTGACATCTGCTGATCTTTGTTACTCCTACTAGGCACGCGTATGTTCTGAGCAGTCGAGAGGAGTCGTAGAGGTCGTGCTGCCAAACTCGATCGGTGACTTGCCGGCCCAAGCCTTGCCGCCCTACTACGCACGACGTACCTCGGCTGGAGCCTGGAGGGTACTGTAGATCGGTCGCTGCATGCACGGAGACTACGCCCCAGCTAGCTGCTTGCTCGATGGGCTGGAGCCTGGAAGAAGACCGGTCGTTGCATTGCATGCATGGAGAGTACGCTACAGCTATAGCTGATGCTACACTTTTCGTGTGCTGGAAGAGAGATCGATCGATTAACGCTGCCGACCGAAATGAAGGCCCAAAGTATAAGTATTAGTACTACAAGGTCTCTGTTTAATTTGGGGCGCCCGGAGGGCGAGGTCACTCTCCTCCATGGCACTAATTAATCGGCTTGTTCGCTAGTTTGTTTCTGAGCTGGTTTGGACCGACTGGTGCTGATTTGTTGTGAGAGAAAAATATTGTTGGTTGGTTGGTTTGGGCTGGCTGAAACCAACAAACGAACAAGTTGAATTTGTTTGTTTTATACTCTCGGTTCTAAATTATGTCATTTTGATTTTTCTTGATACACGGTTTTTCTATGCACCAGGATATACATTACGGTCTTGCTAGCGCCCGGATGTCCAGACAAACGAGGTGTCCGGACGTCCACGCCAGCAGTCCGTTTCGCACGCCCAAGCAGGGCCCGTGCCGCCCCGAACGTCACTAGCATCAAGAAGAGGGGGAGGGGACGGCGGATGCCCTGTGGCGAGAGGAGGAGACACTGAGGCGAGGTAACAGAAAGCGAGAAGAGAGATGCAACACCCGATATACTTTTGCAACATCCAAACGAAACACTTGCAACATACGTTTAAAGATAGATAAAACACTTAAAACATGCATTTGAAACACTTGCAAAAACACTTAAAACCATTGTAAAGCATACGCAACATCTAGATAAAATACTTGCAACATATGTGTGAAACATATATATGCAATATCCAAATAAACGCACTTGCAATACACGTCTAGAAAACAAATAAAACATTTGGAATAGACGCTTGTAACATATATGTACAACCATTGCAACATATGCAACTTTCCGACCTACTTTTATAGCATCTGCATGAAATACTTGCAACATACCTCTGAAACATCTGAAATACTTGAAACATACGCATGCAACATGTCAGACACAACACTCTAGTGGGCAGCGACCACAATGTCTGGCGAGCCTCGAGGCAGTCGCGAAGTACGGCACAGCCATGACGCCCTTGCTGTCTCTTGTCGCAGGAGGAGGTGATAAGGAGGACGCCGGCGCCGACGATGAGGCGGCGGAAGTGCGGGAGAGGGAGCTTGTGCTGGTACCCGAAGCAGAAGAAATCCGAGGATATGAGCAACACCACGGCCTTGGGAGCTTGGAGAGCGGCCGTATGGCAGCGGACACCACGGTCACGACTAAAGATGGCAATGGGTACCAAAAACCCGACTACCCGATGGGTTTTACCCGATAAAGAGACGGGTATGGGAAGAATTCTTCACCCATGGATATACTAATGGGTAAAAATCTCTATCCATCGGGTATGCGGGTATGGGTACGGGGACATACTACCCACACCCGTGTACCCCTTAGCAACACATATGCATTCATTAATTACTATGAAATACACACATATATCTAATAGATATATTACTATTATACTATTAACTAGTGTAGTTTTTTTGCTATGTTATAATTGTTGATTTCTATTGATAAAGAATTGGCGATATAGTATACTAATGTTCTTTTGGTTTGTAGCGGGTATGCATTCGGGTATAGGTTACCCGTTGGGTATTTTTACTCGTGCGGGTACGGGAATGGGTGAAGTTCTCTACCCGTGCGGGGGTATGAGTAATTCTGCGGGTAAAACTTTATCTCGCGGGTACGAGTATGGGATAGCAATAACCGATGGGTATATACCCGTTGCCATCTCTAGTCACGACGGTGAGGGGCGGGCAAAGTAGGGCGAAGGCCATGGCGGTGGCGAGGGCCACGATGAGGAGTATGAGACGGGGGGGTTGAATGAGGGCTGGGGTGCGGCCACGAAGGAGGAGAGGAGAGCAGCGGTGGGCCGCGGCGAGTCGCTAGGGTCCGGACCTCGACTGAGTGGGGCGGAGACGCCATCGGCGGGCGATGCTTCGACGGCTGGACTTGGGGAGAGTGGGAGTGGACTAGATGGCAGAAGCAGAACGTGCGTGCGACTGGTGGTTGGCAGCTCGCATAGTGGGAAATTTTTTGGGGGAGGCGGCGTAAGGACGGACGGATGCCCGCACCGTAGCATTACCGTATACGTTATGTCTTGATATTCCCAACACTAGTACAGAAAAGATTTTTAGGCGGTTTAAATCAGTTTTCAGTGGTGGTTTAAAAAACCGCTACAATGCCACTGATTGTAAAAATAAGTGATTTTCAGAGGCGGTTTGAAAACTGCCTCTAAAAATCGATTTTCAGAGGTGGTTCTCTTAAAACAACCGCCCCTAAAAATCGATTTTCAGAGACGGTTGACTTAAGTCGACCATCCCTAAAAATAATTTCCAATTTTTTTTAAAATCATTTAGAGTCCAACAAAAATAAGAAAAAATATTTAGTGTGGCTAGAGGCCTAGAGGGCCAACCAGTCACTTATAGAATTTAATTTTCGCCACCATCCAAATCCGATATAGTGCAGCAATTAGGATTTGTACTCGTGACCTCTCGCCCCATAAGGTCTATCCCCTACCACTACACCACACAATCACTTGTGTTGAGATATACAATGCTGTTAATTTGTACTAATACATATGGATCTTATAATCAATATTTGTACTATTAAACGACCTTAAATGGAAAAAATTTCAACTATAAAGTTTTAAATCTCTTTGAGCACTACAACTTTCATATAGAACATTTCTCCATCCAAGGTCATTTGAGAAATTTAAAAATTTGAAATTGAAAATCTGAGATTTAATTTATATATTTGGAACCCTAAATAATCTCAAACAAAAATTTTATCAACTACAAAGTTTTAAATCTCGTCGAGGTCTACAATTTTGATATAAATTTTATCTTTACCTAACTTCATTTTAAAAAGATATGAATTTATTTGTGTTTTAACTATTTTTAAGGACAGTCGACTTAGCCACCATTTCTCGCCGTTGCCGTCGATGGTGCCACCGCCGTTGAGAGTGAGCTTGTTGACGCTTCGGAACACGATCCAGTGCCTCCTGTCATTGTCGCTCCAATCCGCCCGGTTCGGCGACGCAACCAGAGTGCCCTTCACCGTGAACGTGACACTGGACTTGCACAGGGCCACAGAGGGCGACGAGCTTCAACAGGTAGTGCCTGCCCTCGGGGACGAGCACGACGGCCGGCTGTGCCGAGGCGCACGCCGCTTTCCATGCCTTTTCCAGAGCCTGCGTGTCATCGTGCCGTCCATCGCCACGGGCACCGTAATGGTCGAGACTGAACACGCTCTGCGACGGTGGCGACGCCAGCGACCTGCCCCTGGTAGCGGCGGCGGGTTCGCTGGCACCAGAGCTGCGCAAGTAGCTCGCGCCGTCAGACGAGGTGTCGTTGCTCGCGCCTGCAACCTTGAAAACGCCGGATAGGAAGAGCAGCGCGAGCAGGGGCGACATGAACACACGCTTCAGCAGCTTCCTGCTAGATGCCATTGGCAGAGCAAAGCACGATGGAGTGGTTGAAGCGAGGACTCTGAACTTGGACTCTGACCAAGATCACAAGAGAATTGAAGCCAATGGTGAAATTTTTGTATTTTGGTCTCTTTTGAAAATATTTTTTACAAAAAGACCAACGCCAAAACGTTTTCTAAAAATAGACCATTTTAGGCGTCTTAGAACATGACGCCGAGGTATGAGGGTCGGCGTCGACTGACACGACGCCGAGGTATTGCCACGTCACGGACGACCCCGGTCGACGGCTACACGGTGGCGCGTGAGGTCCGAGACGTCGGCGTCCTGTCAGCCCACGCCATGGGCCCAACCTCGGCGCGGCTGGACTGAGCGCCGAGCTATGGGCACCATCCGGCGCGCGGCCCAGGCGGGCCAACAACGCATCGTGGCCCAATAGCTCGGCGCGGGGTCACTTAACGCCGACACACCAGACCTCGGCGCTGCCCGACTCAACACCGAGGTCTGGTCCCTTGAGGCCGCGCCGAGGCCCCCTTCTTCTTCCTCCCTCCATTCTGATGAACTTTTTTTACTATATTGTAATGCACTCTGCTTTTATTTCAGATGAACTTATTCCCTGGACTTTTTTTATTATGTTGTAATGCACTATGCTTTTATTTCAGATGGTCTTATGCCCTGTACTTCATTAACTATCCTAGGACTGTAGTGCTACTATTTGTATCACTGAAAAGGCTACTTGTGCTGTTGCAGTCACTGAAAGGGCTACAAGTAGTGTTGCAGTCAATGAAAAGTCTATTTGAAAACTCACTGAAAAGCCTAGATTCGTTTACTGTTGTATCCGTATACGCAATGAATTAATATCAGAGTGATGTACTGCATTTAGATGATGTGACAAAACACAGGTGTAGCCTTTTCAGATGAAATGACCAGTCATAGTTGTAGGCTTTTCAGATGAAGCATCTAGTCTTTGCAGATTCAATAAATGAGTATGCACACAAGTTTTTTGTCAAGTAGCATTCATGGTGAACCTGCCTTCATCTCTATATATAGTGCTCTATGTCTTGCTCCACATCCACACAACTTGTTTTCTGGTTTAGTTTTAGCAAATGTCGAGCGGAGGTTCCTCGAGTGGAAAGGGTTTCGGCGGAGGGAGAGGAAAGGGGGTGAGGAAGGGACCTCCAATTGTGTGGGAGAGTTCTCTGGGTCCTGATTCTTTTGAAGAACCAATAGAGAAATTTCCTTTAGAGAGGAAGAGTGACTTCACCCGTGAGAGACCTCTTAGATCATACGACAAGCGCATTGAAGATTGGTCAAAATGCCGCCACGGTTTGGATTGTGTTGTGCAGATGTACAACGACTGTGACGGTGGAGGCCGTCGTTTCTTCAAATGCCTGCGAGGATTTGTATTTCCTTTGAACTCTCTTCTTTTTTAGATTTGCATTTGGTTTGTAGTAGTACTTATTGGTAGATGGGTTTTCAGGATTCAAGCTGTCCAGATAACTGTGGCTTCACTAGATGGGTCGACCCTCCTCCTATCTATCCCCATCAACAGTACATCACATATCTATAGGGGCGCATCTTTGACCTAGAGTATGGTCCTGGAAGTGGTAACAGGGACAAGTCGAACGACGACAACAGCAATGATGCAGAGGAGGCACTATGCAATAATCCGTACTGCCAGTGCCCGTACCATAAGAAGCACGGGCCTCCTTCTCCACCGCCACCGCCACCGCCTCCGTCATTTGGGGGATACTGTGGGGAAGGCGCAACTCAGTTCAATATGTGGGACCGTTATTAGGATCAACCTTTGTTTGTTAGTCAATTCGAATGTGGAATGCTTGTATGAGTTATTCTTCTCAAACCCCTAAGGCATGCTAGGTCTAGTTTGCAACATGCCATTGTTAGTTTTCATGTGAGTGTGTAATCGTAGTACCTTTGTAACGTCTGTATCACTTGTTTCTTTCAATCCCTAAGGCATGGTAGGTTTAGTTTGTGACATGCCATTGTTAGTTTTTATGTGAGTGTAATCATAGTGCATTTGCTATTTCATAAATTGTAGTTTACCTATCTCTAAGTTTCATGTACTATGGTTGATTTCGAAACTCAAAAAAAGATTTGACTCTCTCTAAGAATAGGGGATTGAAATCGAACATTACAAATAAGAATAAAAGAAATAATAAAAGAGTACCAAAAAAGAATAATAAAAAAAGAAAAGGAAAAAGAAGTAGAACAAAAAAAAAGAAAAAAGAGAATGACGTCGAGTCAGCCCACGCCGAGGTAAAGAAAATGGCGTTGAGTCGGCCCACGCCGACCCTAGGGTTTGGCTCGACCGGCCCGCTAGGTTTGGGCTTCAGCTCGGCGCTGAGTCGGTCCACGCCGAGTTTGAACACAGAGGCGTTGAGTCGGGCCACGCCGACATTTGGGCCGCGGACGTCGTCGATTCAGCCCATGGCCCTATCTCGGCGTCAAATGAATAAACACCGTTTCTAAAGGATCGGCGTCAATTTACTACGCGCCGAGCTTGGGCACCTCATCGCTTCGGACCAGCCGATTCTAGTATGCGCCAGGGGTCGGCGTTAATTGATTAAACGCCGAAGTGTCTACCATCGGCGTGTCTTGATTTGACGCTGAGATTTGAGTACACAAAAAAAAGAAATGAACATTTCAATTCACAAGTGCACAGGTTGACAGAATTTCGCAGAATACAAAATTTCATAGAATACACATTCAACGCTGGAAACATAGTGATATGCTTCATCAAACATAGTCCATGTCGTTACCACACCGACATACGCATTCAACATCGAAACATAGTGATATCAAACATAGTCCAAACATAGTGCATACCATAAGATACATAGAACATTACATAAGGTCGCACAAAAGAAGCATATGACAAGGTCTGCAGCTTTTAGTTTGTTCCTTCTCCAATGCTCCTTTTCACCTTGATCTCTCTTTTTCCTATAATAGTAAATTTTAACAACTTTCAGCGACTATTGAGCTAAGTTAGGAACAAAAAATGAGATGTAACTTAACAAGCATATCAAAAGATGTTCGTTTAGATATTGAGATAATTGGTGTATGCTAAAATTTGAGCCAAGTACCTTAACGTGGACGGCGAGCGTAACGCTTTCCCCTCCCAAACAGATAGGTACCTGGAGTGTACCTGTCCACTGGTCTGAGCGTCCTCTGTGGGCGTCTAGAACCGGAGGGGCCTTGAGTTCCTTGGGGTGCATCTTCAAGCTGGGACATGCCAATCTCATCATACTCATGCTCATAGTACTCTCCCTGTCCTTCATCATCTTCATCATCATAAGGACCATGTCCTTGACCACCCTCTACACTAGTTGTTGCACCATGTGAAGAAGAAGTCCCGCCAACATGTGCACCATGTGAAGATGAAGTCCCTCCAACATGTGTAGTAGAAGGTCCAGCACCAAGGTGTTGTGGGACTGCCACATCCGGGGAACGTCTACATCCAAGGCGTGCAGCTACCTTTCGGAGGCAATGCATGGCACGCTGCATTTTGAAAGCACTATTAGTAAGTGGGGTTGGTCGCAAAACTATATAAAGATGTAACATCACTTGAATGACAGGAGGCTACATGAATGTGCTGTCGTAACATGGAGGCCTCATCAGGATCGCCCACAGGAATCATCAATGCCCTTCCTTGCTCGGCCACTGTCCTCATTATCTCCGTGCTCTATGCAAAAAAACAAGAATTTAAGTCTCTATCACAGTTAAGACCTTAGAGATGGAAATAGTTGTGTCACTTACAGCTCTGGCTAACGCAGGGGCGATCTCAACTTGCCTGCCTTCTCGGGTAGCTTGGTCATATGGGTTGTTGCCCTCATCCTCGCTCGCAATGTCAGCAATGTCTTGCTCCGTCCAAGCGGGCCTCAATTGAAGCCTTGTTCGTTGACCAAGCCAAACAATGTAATCATCGAATGCCTTGTCATGATGGACGGCGTGGATGCCCATGTTGTTCTGCTCCATCAACATCCACTCATCATTGTAGCGCTGGTGCTCCAGCTGCCAGTTGGTGATCTTCTTATTTTTTTGTCTGCTGAACCTGCAAATTTTACACCATAGCGGCAATATGAAGGCCTACTCAATGATTCCTTCATGTGAAACGAACAAAATATTGCATGTTACGTACTTGTGGAGCTGCCAACCGGTGGAGAAATCCTCGGGCGGAGAAGGCTGCAGCCTACCAAACTGCCATGCTACACCGTGAGGGAGATGGTACTCCACTGCATAGAAACAAATAAGGGGGGTCCTCATCGTCCAGACGTCCTCGTCTGCCATGCACAAGGAGCTCAAGTTGAGATCCGTGACTTGCCTCCGCCGATATGGGTGCCATTGAACCTGTACACAACGTCGTCATCAACTAGTCGACGCTCAATTTGTGCACATATCATCGATTAGGCCAAAAGGGTGGGAAACTTACATATTGTGGCAAAAGGGTGTCCAGCTCGTTGGTGAAGCTGATGTACACGTGGCGTGACACGTGGTAAGTTCCGTGGGCTCGCTCGTAGAGGTGTGCCACGGTAGGGGCGACAACTGCGTCTCCTTGAGGAAACCAAGGTTGTGGGGGATCAAGCTGATGCGGTCTCCCAACTGGAAGCCTCTCCCGCATCCAAATCTGCAAAAAAGAGTGGAAACTTGAATGTTAATCACTTTTGTTAAGAAAAAACATTGAATTGTAGTGGAAACTTGTACAACTTTGCTTTATTACCTGCAACAGTGTGATGCACCCTGACATTGTAGCGTGCGCGCCTCCAGGACGGCGGCAAGCCTCGCAAAGCTGACGGTACAAGAAAGCAAGTATAGCCGAGCCCCAACTCCTATTGTCGGCATCCTCCCAGTTCTAAAGGCACGGGATGTACATCCAGGACGCCGTGTCTCCAGTGCCATCAGGGAAGAGAACCGTACCAAACATGTGCAGGACGTAGGCCCGACAGTAGTATGTCACGGTCTGGGCGTCTACGTTAGGTGGGCACTCCCAAAACTGCTGACGAAGC